CGGAAAATGAGGAAATTGACGAAAATTTTATTCAGTCTCGGAGTAGTACCAATAGACAGAGTGAATCCAATATTTACTTTTCTCAAATTCGGGAATTTTTCCCTGGAAAATCCTGGAAAAAACCTGGGAAAACATGAGACAAAATTTACTCATCGCTGAGTTCCTGCACTTTTGGCGATTATGAGTGAACTAAACTCAAATTTGGGTCATTTTTATTAGCCGTGTGTGCTTCTCCTCCTCCAAGAATATGAACGGTGCGTGGAGCAACGAGAACATCGAAAACACGTTAAGTGGACCCTACACGATTACTTTTATTGACAATAATCGTATTGTCAATACATTCTATATTGACGTCAATATATCGAGATTGACAATATTTCTGAATTCACATTATCAATATTATTGTCAATAATTCCCCTTCGCGTCAATATATTGATGCGTGTGGGGTTTGCTTTAGCTTTGAAAGAGCGGAAGCTTCTTTTTCTGAGAAAAGAAAGGATTTTCCTTTTTCTGTGTAGTTAATGTTATGATTCGTAATTATAATTTCTTATTGTATTAGTTGGAAGTGCAAAAAGCAGGAGAGTTAAAAAAAATTGTTGAATTATTTGAGATTTTACCAAGACGGTCCTCCAACATTATATGTTGGACGATGAAATCGTTGGTGTAGCAGCCACCGCCATGGATGTATTCGAGCAGTTCGAATGGTCGGATGGTATAGGTTTTGTTTGGTTGTTGAATTTCCGATTAAAACTTAAGCACCACTTGTCGTGACCGGCTCGAGATTTCCAGCGTCTGCCACGGCTACACGAATTAGCGATGCAGCTCCCACGGCTGCGGCTGCTTCCAATGCTGCTTCTGCTTTAGTTGCTTCTGTTCCTTCTGCTGGTCCGTCTCCTCTAAAATTCGTAAAAAAAAGACGGACCAGCAGCAGCATTGGAAGCAGCCGCAGCCGTGGGAGCTGCATCGCTAGTTCGTGTAGCCATGGCCGGAAACCTCGGTCAGGTCAATATACCGCTGTCAGCTGTTCTTCATCTGGGAGGAAATGTGGATGTGACTGCCGTCACGAGTGTAACGATTTTGAGAATCCATGGCGAGACTTGGTGGTGATTCACGGTTGTTTTGAAAATAATTTGATTATATTGTGGCAACATCAATAACAAATGTTGACACATGCGCACTGCGTAGGCGCAGAAAAAGTTCAGTGTTGCCAGTAACTTTAAAGATCATAAAAATTCTAACCATGGGTGCCAAACAGCGCCCAAGTGTGCCCAAGGTTGTTTTTGGCACACTGTGCGGTGTGACCATCCCCTTGGTTGTCCCATATATAAAAGTCTACGAATAAATAAATGTTCAACAGTGTTTTTCTCGGCTTGCTGTTTTGCTTTTATGGGCTGAGTAGCTTCAAAACTTTTTCATCACTTAGGGAAAATGACGGCTTCAGCAATACCTTATTCTAGTATCGTCAGGACGGTAAACAACATCCTTGATAGGTGTTGATTGAACACTTTGCAGGTTCACCTTCATTTGCTTCAAATGGCATCAGCTGGTAAATGCTTCAAACTGGCGTTGGAGAAATTGTCAATCATCGATCGAGCAGATCCGTGAGTAGATTTTGAGATCGTCTGCATACGATAGTCGTGGACCTTCGATAACTAAATTCATGTCATGGAAGGCATTCCTGAAGTAGCTGCGAAAATGTCGGACTGGCAGTCACCATAGGTTGCCACCAGCTGACGATCGGCGAGATGTGAGCGAAACCATTTCAGGAGATTTCCGCTAACTCCGAGTCTATCCAATTTGGCGATCGCGATGGCGTGATTTATCTTATCGAAGGCAGCAGCCGTCTGTTTGTGACCTTTCAACCATACTTTGCGTGATGTACGATGTCAAACACAGTAAATTCGTGGTAGTAAATCAACCGGAGGTGAAGCCATGTTGATCTTCGCTTAGAAACTGCTTGCAATGGGAGAACAGAGGCTCGAATGACTAACTCGAATAGTTGAATAGTTTCAAAATTTCGCACAACGATGTAATTCCAAGATAATTATCCACGTCCCGTTGACTACCCTTTTTATATACAGGGAACATATGCGCAAATTTCCAGTTTGATGGAAAAATGCCACCCTAGATGGACAATCGGAACAGATGTTGTAGCGGTGACAGTAAGTTAGCGATATGCTTTAGTCGCTATCACTTCGGCGTTGACCACAATTCCACCCATAGCATGACCGGAAAGTGGAACGTTGCTTGTGTTGTGTTCGATAAAAATGTCGGAATCCACCGTGACAGTTCGAGTGATAGAGTTATCGTTTTATAGCAAACGAGTTGATTGAAATAAAATCGAGTCCGAATCGGTCTCTTAGTCTTGGATCGTACAAGGTGAAAGACGTGTTTGTTTTTAAACTATAATCCGAAGCGTGTATCTGGTGGTAATACTTAAAAGTGGCGACAAGGATGGGATTTGAAGTGGATTTGGTGCTTAGGGAGGAAAAACCAATATTTCGGAAAGCGTATGACGTGCCGTTTAAATTAAGAGAAAAAGTTCAGAGTTGGTTGGAAATGCTAACATGAAGCTTTAGTGTGATAATTTATTAGCTAGAGAATGATCTTTAGAAAAGAGTAGGTGGATAGGTACGTTAGAGTACGGCAGTATGAAAATTGAATAGAAGTTGAAAATGAGCGAAGGGCCATTAATGCGACAGTTTTAAAGTTAGACGCACATCTTTTGCCTAACCCGTACGATGTACACGGAGACTTGCCTGTAGACTTGGAGACATACTTCAACTCTCCGCGTACATCGTACGGGATAGGCAAAAGATGTGCGTCTAACTTTAAAACTGTCGCATCATGGCCCTTCGCTCATTTTCAACTTCTATTCAATTTTCATACTGCCGTACTCTAACGGACCTATCCACCTACTCTCTTCTAAAGATCATTCTCTAGCTAATAAATTATCACACTAAAGCTTCATGTTAGCATTTCCAACCAACTCTGAAAATCGCTAACTTCGCGTATGAAGTAACATAAAAACACTTTGAATGAGAAAAAGTTATTGAAAATTTGGATTCTCTTGAGAAACAAAACGTGATTACTCCAATAATGCTAGGGTCACGTCTTCGTTGATTAAGCTCTCGTCAGAGAAGACACTTGCAAACTTGTTGGAGAACAAGCGGCAGACCTCCTGTGGACTGGAAGCGACTTCGCCGATCAATATCATGGATGAAGGTAGACCGAACTCTCTGCACTGCTCCATCACGTACTTCCAGAAAGACTAACGATTGGAAACTCGGATCATGGAACTGTAAGTCTATCAATTTCATGGAAAGTACCCGCATTCTTTCCGACGCAGCCTACAAAGAGCTTTCTCAAATAATCTATCGCCACTAGTGGGAGGCGGTTTTGTGGACCGGCGATCGACAACAGATCAAATCTTTACGTTCCTCCAAAAGCGTTGCGAATGTGAAGTCCTTGCACACCACCTATGTATCGATTTCAAGGCGACTTAGAGCTATGGAAGGTAAGGTTATGGGCAAAAACGGTTTTCCCGGGAAACTGATCAAACTGATCTAGGCTACGATGGATGTGTACAGTGCTGTTTGAACATATTGGGTACATTTATAGGACTCGTTAGAAGCACGCAAACTGCCGCCTGTGGGTCCCGTAGTCGTTTTTGTCAAAATTTAATTTTTCAATGCAAATGTACTTCTTCTTCGCATTTCGAGCTTATTGCTTAGGAGGGCCCATGCATTAATTATATCACGCTAAATCGAGCAAAAAATTACCCCTCTCCCCTATCGTGACGTTTTTCCTATACCTAATACCCCCCTTAGAGCGTGGCATAATATATGCATCAACCCTAATTGCTTATTGTGTGCTCTCAACTTAGTGCTCTATATGCACTTCCACAGTTATTAATTCAGAGCTTTCGATGGCCTGTACCATTAGTATTATTGTGTGGCAAGTACAGTCATACTCTACACGGCGAATGAGAACGACTCAAATTTGAGTTAAGTTCACTCATAATCGCCAAAAGTGCAGGAACTCAGCGATGAGTTAATTTGCCTCATGTTTTCCCAGGTTTTTCCAGGGAAAAATTCCCGAATTTGAGAAAAGTAAAGATTGGATTCACTCAGTCTATTGGTACTACTCCGAGACTGAATAAAATTTTCGTCAATTTCCTCATTTTCCGGCAGATTTTTTAGGTTTTCCACAGAAAACCATGAGACAAATTTTACTCATCGCTGAGTTCCTGCACTTTTGGCGATTATGAGTGAACTAAACTCAAATTTGAGTCGTTCTCATTCGCCGTGTATGCCCAAGGAAGTCGAGCAATTTGCCAACCCGAAAAATCCATAGACCGGACCGGAAATCGAACCCAGCCACCTCCAGCATGGTCCTGCTTTGTAGCTGCACTTTTACCAACTGAACTAAGGGAGGCCCCAATGTAAATGTAGCTACCCTTATTTTCATTATACTGGATGAACTGAACAACTTTGTTCTGAAAAAGTTTGGAAAGACAGTCAAATTGGTTGTCCCATGACATAAGAAGCAATGGTACTAAGCAAGCGATTTTCTCGGCTTGCTGATTTTTGCTATGGGACGAACATGCGAAGAGCTGCAGCATCGCCAAGCTGATGGTATTTCCTGCCTCCTGTTAAACATTGCGCTAGAAGATTCTATAACATTCGCCCGAATGTCACTAGAGAAGTCTGTTCGCTCCAGCTTTGTTCGATAGGAACGGATGTTGACAATTCGATTGGATCTTCGTCGTGTGACAGTCGTCTATACTTTTTCCGAAGGGTTTTTTGGGGCTGATGGAGAGGTGGAGCCTCAACAAAGGAAAATAAAAGATGTTTCACGTAAGCCCTGTGCAGTACTGGGGCAGCTCAAGATATTTCAGTTAGTGAGATCATAAGAAAAAAAAAACAAAGTACACATTAATTCTTCAGAATACAGGCTGTGATCATCATCAAAACTTTTAATTTCAAACCGCAAACCAGTCAATTGTTAGTAACAACATTTTATTGTTCTCCACATTCATGTCATCCTGGTTCACAATTCATTTTAAATGAATCACAGTACACTTTTCTATAACTTGTTTGTTGCTTATTAAAACTCATATCTTAAACAAAATTCGATCTGGACTTCGTAACATTCATAATGGACGGATTGATTCACATAGGTACACACTACCTGATGGTTTCAGGAAGTTCTACATAAAGGGGTACTTTTCTCGTTCTAGCATTACATAACTGATGATTTCTATACTTAAAATATCTACCATTACTCAGATTCCAACGGAAGACTATCGGGCTTAAAGTATTACACTAATAAAAGGTAATGGTTAAGAATGCTGATTGTAGTTGTGTGTGTGTGTCCGTGTGGTATATTTGTACGTACATAATTATATAAAATGTAAACAAATGGAAGTCAATAGTCTTCATTGATAAAAAAAAATATCTTAAAAGGGGATTTTCCAAGAAATCGTGCCTCAACTGGTAGAGAGGTTAAATAGATTCTGCATTCATCGATTATCTTCAGATAAACATACATATTTATATGATATAATTCATACAATACTATCTTCTTGCTTTATTGCTGTTACGTGCTAAGGCAACAATGAAGTGCACTTGGACTTTCCCGTTAATTTTCTCCTCGCCTTTTTCACATCATAAATAATAAATTGGCAAATCTCACTAATAATTCCCTACGAATAGCAAAGGTCTTATTTCCTTATATTTTGCGCGCTCCTTTTTTGTTGCTTCATTCTAGTAGTACGTATTTTTCTCTTAATTTTGTTGTGCTATTTACAATCAGTACTTTTCAAGTGACAGCTTTAACAAAAAAATATAGTCTACGACTAAATAACACTTAAATCAGATCTATTGATTTGCTTGCGTAAGGCTTAAGTAAATAAAGATCATCTTGTCGAGATTTTTGTTTCCTTAAGAAAGTGGACGGACACGTAAATGTTGGTTCCAAAACTATGTGATCTCCCTAAACGTCAGTACTGCCCGTTTGAATTCGTACCTTCTTGACGGTACCATTTTCGGCGTAGCCCGGATTTCGGATACCAAATCCGTCTGCATTTTGCGGTCGGGGTTTCTTAAGACTGGATCGGAGCGGTGTTCGGGTGACCGAACCGGAACCTATTGTCGACCCATTGGACATTGTGGTCATGGTCGTGGTGACGGATTGGACGCTTCCGTTGATGCTGGAGTATGGCCGACCGCTGGAGTTAGTCACGGCGATGCCTACGAGAAAAAGGGAACGTGATGAGAGCTGTCTTTTAATTACCCATCGTAGTACATACCATTGGTCTCCCGGAAGCCCGGATTGTTGTAGGTAGTTGCGTTACCGTTGACGTTGCCCATCATCGTGGGATCACCATCCGGCCGCTTCGTCAGTATTTTATCGTATACCGACAGGACCATCAGAGCCAACGATAGGGCCACCGTTACAATCTGCAGGTAGAACGAGATCCCCCGTGTGATGCGATACCCCGTTCGATCGTCGTCAGTCTGTAGGGCAAACAGGCCGGCTGCCGCCAGCGAAAGGAATGTTGCCAGCCCCACCACCAATAGCTTCAATGTGATGAGAACGCTGTACTTCATGCAGATCCGATCCCGCGACGAGATCATCGCTATCTGCATAATGCTGAGTATGCAATATATGCCAAATAGGGCACATCCCGCTACCGCTATCAGGCCACTGGTGAAGACAACGCCTGGAAAGGAAAAGCAAAATCAAAATCCGTTATCAGTTGGCACCTACATTTGTTTTTCCTACAGTGTTCATTGACTTGGTGAGTTCAGTGATGTTGGTGCAGAGTTGGTTATCAAATCAAGATCAGCGATTTCTATTTACAAAGTTGAATCAAACCTCTATTTAAGCTTACACAAAAATCGTTGTCATGCCAGTTGGCTTTTGTGACCGTCGTCGTCGTTATGGTGAAATTACAGCTGTTAGCTCTAGTGCTGTTTGCCTGCTATGCAGGTAGCAATGCACTCTGGAATCCATACGTGAAACTTATGAAGGGATCGGCTTCTCCGCGTCGACCAGGTGAAAGTGGAGAACCATTGTTCCTGACCAAACTGTTGCAGGACGGAAAGATCGAGGAAGCTCGCAACAAGGCCCGTGTTAACCATCCCATGCTGGGATCGGTCGAGAGTTATTCCGGTTTCATCACCGTCGATGCCAAACACAACTCAAATCTGTTCTTCTGGTACGTCGCGGCCAAGAACAACCGTGAACAGGCACCCCTCCTAGTTTGGTTGCAAGGTGGCCCAGGCGCTTCGTCCCTCTTTGGATTGTTCGAAGAGAATGGACCGTTCCACATCCACAAGAACATGTCGGTCAAGCATCGGGAATTCTCCTGGCACCAAAACCATCACATGATCTATATCGACAACCCAGTCGGAACTGGATTCAGCTTCACCGATAACGATGAAGGTTACTCCACCAACGAAGAACATGTCGGTGAAAACCTGTTGAAATTCATCCATCAGTTCTTCATCATGTTCCCGAACCTTCTCAAACATCCCTTCTACCTTGCTGGTGAATCATATGGTGGAAAATTCGTCCCTGCCTTCGGCCATGCTATTCACAATTCCCAAAACCAACCCAAGATCAACCTTCAGGGATTGGCTATTGGTGATGGTTATACCGATCCGTTGAACCAGCTCAACTACGGAGAGTACCTCTACGAGCTGGGTCTGATCGATTTGAACGCCAGGCAGAAATTCGACAAGGACACGGCTGCCGCCATCGCCTGTGCTGAACGTAAGGACATGCCATGCGCCAACCGACTGATTCAGGGTCTGTTTGACGGTATCGACGGCCAGGAATCGTTCTTCAAGAAGGTAACCGGATTCGATTCCTACTACAACTTCATCAAAGGCGACGAAGATAAAGATAGCACGCTGATTGACTTTCTCAGCCACCCGGAGGTGCGCAAGGGAATCCACGTCGGTGAGCTACCGTTCCACAATATCGAGGAAAACAACAAGGTAGCGGAAAAACTATCCAATGACCAGCTGGATACGGTAGTCCCTTGGGTTAGCGAACTGCTGTCGCACTATCGGGTACTGTTCTACAACGGTCAGCTGGACATCATCTGCGCCTATCCGATGACGGTCGACTTCCTGATGAAGATGCCCTTCGACGGGGATAACGAGTACAAACAGGCCAACAGAGAAATCTACCGGGTCGACGGGGAGATCGCCGGTTACAAGAAGAAGGCTGGCCGTCTGCAGGAGGTGTTGATTCGAAACGCTGGCCATATGGTGCCGAGAGATCAACCGAAGTGGGCCTTCGATATGATCAGTTCGTTCACGCATCAGAAGAACGTGTAAGATGTTACTGATACGGGATAGAATTTTATAACAAATAAAATTATAACGAACGAGAGTTTTTTTGTATTTACATTTCGATTTATATAGGGTAAAATGTGGGTCGAATTTTATATTAGCAACCATTTTTAATCAAAGAGCCGAATATGAAGTCTAATACCACAGTCCGTTTCATTGAGTAGATTAACCCAACAACATCTCAATCAATTCGGCGAACGGTTTCAGAATTTTCAAACTATTTAATAAATATTTCAATACGCCTTTTTAATGCACCACCAACGTAGAGGACACCACGCGAGTTCGAGAGGAAACGTCAACCAAACCGTTTGTTTACATCAGAAAAAGGATTTTTCACAACGCAAATTAAAGCATTTTTCATTGAACATTTTGCCTGTTTCCATCGGTTGTCTTATTTTACGATTTTCCACACATCTGAACCGATTTGCACCTAAACTATTCACACACAAGAAATCCGAAAGATCATAACCACTAAGGCACTATTGGAATTTTGCATTTTTCTCAATAAAAATATTCCTGAACACTAGCAGAATCCTTGCAAAAATGATCAGAATTAAATTTTTCAACTATAGATAAAGTTCTCGAGCACCTCAGATGAATCAATTTATCAGGAAAAGTGAAAAATGTGTTCCGCTTCCAATGTCTCACGGCAAAAATTTCTGCTCACAGCACTCTTTTTGACGTTCTTATATTCACCACCAGAGGTTGAATCGATCGATTAGTTTCTATTAAAAAGGCGTATTTATGAATACATTGATGTCTAAAAAAATAATTAATTTTAGTTAAATTTGTTCCTGGCTACATACCTATCTGCTCCATCACCGCTCAAATTTAATATTTGTAGATAAACATTGCAAATGTCCTATCTGCATTGATCGATTCTCTTCATCAACATTCTCTTTTGTTAATAACTCAGTTGCAAAAACTTTTCCTGTTGTATTTAACGTTGAGGACGCTAGATAAGAACTTCTTTTACCAAACTATGTGGCGATTAAAGGAGATAGGACTTGTTGAAATGTTCATCGATATTTATTCATATATTGGCATAACGAAAACTCATTGCAGGCCTGATGAAACAACTCAAACTCACTGGAGGTTTCAAAATACTCTTGCGGGTTTAGACAGCCCTCACCTCAAGTGAGTGGTGGCAGGAATATAGAAGAAGTAAACAATCACCCCCCGAGAGATAGGGAGAGCAAACTCGAGCGAGACGATGATATGAGGCTCCGGATGACTTTTTTGTTCGAGGCAAGAAGCTCAGAGGTTACCCAGGGTGAGAGTAAGAACGTGTGAAAGAAAACATGAAAATGAACCACTTTTCTGTCAAACGTGAACCAGCTCCTGATTGGCCGATTTCATGTACGTAAGATAGAAATAGAGATAGAAATAAAAGAGGAAGAAGCCAATTGTCACCTCTTCCTCTTAAGTGGACTCTACACGGTTGCTTTTATTGACAATAATCGTATTGTCAATACATTCTATATTGACGTCAATACATCGAGATTGACAATATTTCTGAATTCACATCATCAATATTATTGTCAATACTTGTAAGTATTGACAATATTTCTTACCGTGTGGGGTTTGCTTTAGGTTTAATCCCCCTTCACTCACATGCTATGAGGCTCGGTGGAATGATTTGTGAGTAGGAATTCTACTCCTGAAAAATACTACGCTCGGCTAATTTTAAACTCGCTAGTAAGGCTCAATCCTGAATAGAGTGTCTTTAATTGGGATAAAAAAAAAACCGAAATAACGTGACGCTAAATCACTCCCCCTTCTTTTTTCAAGATTGAATAAAAACCCTCAATGGGGTTATTTAATTTCGACAAACATACCGGTTTTTATACATCATATGAAAGAGCTTCGTTTTCCGAGCACAACGATATATTTAACCAGGGTGTCGATTACCTGTAAAATCAGAGAATATCAGGGAATTCATTTTGAGACCTGGAAAATCAGGGAATTTAATTCAAATTCAGGGAAATATTTCTTAATCACAAACTTTGCTAGTTTCAAACAACTTGATTACTCGGTGTAGTTGAAGTTTGTAGTTTTAAACATTAAATAGATTTGCGAATTTGTGGTTGTTCAATGCTTGATGTTGCATTTTTGCAAGTTGAGCAAGAATTACTCAAATAAAAGGGTATTTTGATGATTTTGAGCCTACACTTAAAAAAATCTACACGTGCCGTTCATGTGTTTCACATTTGAATTGGCGCAATGTGGCAAACACATTAATTTCAAATGTATAACTTATGAAATCAGTCACACCTTACCCATGCTTCATTCACTTACAGCACACATGATTTAAATGTCAACGTCATGTGCTTGATTTCTAATCATGAAATGTTTTGCATATAAATATGTTGTACCAGACATGCTAAATTTAAGCGTGATGCACATGAATTTCATGAAATACCTTGTAGCAATCTTATAGTATAACTATTGGTTTTAGATTTGATTTGTTGCTGTGAAAAAGATAACGGAATTTAATTTAAGCAAATCGTAGTCATGCATACTGCATTCCAATAGTACCGTATATACAAACATAAAAATGTTATCCGATACCTTTGAAACTTAATACATTACTACGGTCCTCTTAAAAGATAATTATTGAACGGGTATGTAAAAATGATAAACACGATATATTTCATTTTAGATATATTGATTTATATTTTCATATTGTGTGTACAGTAGATTAATCGTAGTAGATAGCTTAACCTATCAAATCAAATATCGCTGTCTTCGTGAATAAAGTTGTACTTTTTTTTCTGTATACGTAGTAGTAGAATCGGATGTCCAAAAGAATTCATTTTCGTTCTAGAATTAAAATCATATAAATTTAGGTGCTCTGAGAGTGACATACGAGCGTCAATTTTGACATAAATTTGAGCCATAGCAGACTTGAAATATAGCTCAATCAAACTTACTTTTCGTCGAGCAACAAACTTTTCAGTCTCGGAGCACTAAACATTACATGACATGTTTGTTTACGTCTCTACTTTTGTGTCAAAGACGGATTCCGTCACGTGTAAAATTAGTTATTTCTAAGTGTGATCCCTTTATTTAAACATATAATTTCCTACAAAGAATACTCACATACTCACGGTTAATAATTTCGAGGATTTTGTTATGAAAACCTAACTCCACTAACAAGTCTTCTCTGCTAGCTGTTGCCTTCCATGTTTGTTTTGACACTTTAGGTACTCTTCTCATCCTTATAGTGAGATCCATTGCAATTCATGTGTCATACACGTTAAATACACTAGTAGGAAACAGTAGCGCATAATTATATGGGGATCTCTTTGATTTCGATAAGTTAACACATGAAATCAATGTGTGGTAGTATTGATTTCATAAGCAACAAAAACATATTATTTGTGTATGTAAATCTCATGACATCCGTGTGAAAAGCACATGATTCTATGGTGACAAGTAATGAACGGTCTTCATATTCCAAAACACATGAATGGAACGTGTCATTTTTTTGAGTGTAATATAAATTCAGTTGGGTGTTGACACATTCCTGAGTTGAACTGAGATCCTGATAAAAACCCATTTCCGTAGACAATAGACATTATTAGTTGTTGCAAAATTTAACCTCCAAATTGGTATGTGTTGGTCTCTTAGTAGATGTTACATCTAATTGCGTCTGACTTAGATCCTTTGGGCACATTGGAGCGCTTTTGAGTAAAGAGCTAAGTGAAGAGGATGTTTTTTTTCTGAGCACATGTAGTTCCTGTTCCTTATTGCGTTCCTAACAACCTGATTAGCTCAGAGAATAAATTAAATGAAAATTTAGAATAATGTTCTTCCTTGGGTGGATTTTTGTCTTTGATGCTTGAAGTAGCACTTTTATGATTGAAATATGATTCAAAGAAACGTAGACAAGCATTGCCTCGACAGCATAGAGTGGCTTTATTGTGTATTCTAGGTCTTCATTGTAAATCTGATTAGCTCGGAAAATTAGTTTCTCAGTGAATGGTGAAGGCGCTGTTTTTACGATTTTCCACCATAGGAATCTGGCCGCAAATTAGCGTTTGGTTAAGCGTACTAACTGGAATAATTTTCTTGCGAAGCTGGGTCTCAAATTGTGCTCAAAGGATTAAAGACAAGTGTTTAATATGTAAGATGTAGGAGAACTGGTTGAATTTCTGCCCCTATCGGTGTGTACAGAAACAGTCATAAAAGAACTTTTTAAGTCGGGTTGAAAAAGTTCACGATATTTCGGGAAGTTCAACAAGGTAAAAGTTCGCGAGTCATAGTGAGTTTTAGTGAATATTTTCAACACTGCTTTTAAAGGTGAGAAAATCGCCATGCCAAGGATCTCTTCTCATATTATGGAGTAAATCGAGCAAACTTGTTGATATTTTTAAGCGATTAAGCAAGACTTGTTTGTAGATTGATATCGAGAAGGTTGCAGTTTCCTTCGCTATCAATCATCAATTGAACTGAGTACCTACCTGTCACTTACCGTGATTACAATTTGTGAATTTAAAAAAATGTGATGCCTTCTCGGTTTTGGCAACACGCGATTTCTGTCTTATTTGCATTCTATAAAATGTATCGAACGCTTTATTCAATTGAGATTGTACTGGACCACTCTTCGTGAGTTAGAGTTCCATGTGGTATTAAATGAAAAAAATGTCCAGAAAGCACTACCCAACTAACAATTTTGGCTGCAGAATAGCTGACACAACCGAAAAATGACGTTATGCATCTAATTTGTGCCTGTATAAGCTGGTCTGCGCTAGAACTTTTTGTTGGGTAATACATATATGAGGAAAGTAATAGCTGATGAGATCGTGTTGACAAATCCATGTAATCACTACAACTGGAATTTGTTTGAAAATTACTGGAAAATCAGGGAATATCAGAGAATTTGGTTTTCTTCATTGAGTCGACACCCTGTTAACGATCCGATAGACATTCATCTCGATATTTAAATCATGCCTTAAATTTTTCATTTTCGACTACATTTATTAGTTTACAGCTCGCTCCCATGCAAAGACTCACCGAGGGGCGCTAAGATGGTTTTTCTTTTTAATAATTTCAGTGCACCAAAATTGATGAAATTTTGGAGTTTGGTTCTATTTTTAATGCAGATTACAAATATGTATTTAACTCAATACCCCTAAGCAACTCAGTTAACAGTTAGAAAAGTTTGTATGTATTATGTTATCGAAACAAGGGGCGCATGGGGTGTGACACATTTAAATCTCAATTTTAGATGGTCGAAAAATCTCACGCTAGCGAATCAATCTACGAAAACACTTTTTTCATCTCTTGCATCTAAATCCATCTTCTCGCATCGCTCTCCACCTTTTTGCAGGAAATCTTCATCTTCATATACCATATTTGGGCGTAATTGCTTCTGCAAACAAACACGAAATTAATACCACTAATAACAATCTCGAAAACGGGTCGGGTTATAGTCGCTATATTCATAGTCTGGCGGATAGAATCTCGGGAACCAATTGAGCTGTCAAATTGCGGAACCAATCGAGCAAATCACGACCAACAACAGAAAAGAGCACATCAGCTATTGCGTACAAAACTTCGGAAACCGTTTTCTCGTGATTCAAGGCTCGCTTACGCAAACTAACACTATCTGTGGGTTGGGGAAGGATTCACCCATTCGATTATGCCGGTAATACTAGAATAATCAACGTTTTGTTTATACAAGTTGATAGGGCCGTTTCAATTGTTGGTCTACAACATATTGAATTGGTTTCGCTTTTCGATAGATCAAAATTCTATCCGCCATGAATATAGCGACTATAAGTCGGGTAGGTTTTTTCAAAGAACATTATTTCTCAAAATTGATTCTCTATATAGAAATTATAGTCACGTTTTATATTTTTCAATCATCTAGCATAAAATTCGTGGCAGTCGTAAACGTATTAATCATAACGTACGCCCACTTGGGTTGATCCCGGGGAACCATGTGGCCAGCGTCTCGGATAAGCACCTCCAACAGATTGTTAACCAACTTGTAGTACCCAGCAATCTCACCGTCCACGCTGAACATGTACCGTTTGGCAGTTCTGTACTGATCTGCTCCATCGAAGGTCAGATTTTTCAAATAGTTCACCATCATCGGATAGGCACAAATGATATCCAACTGGCCGTTGTAGATCATCATCCGGTAGTGGGAGAGGAGCTCTACAATCCACGGGGCCACCGAGTCCAGGATGTCATGCTGCAAGTACTTTCCCACCTTGTTCTCGCTGTCCAAGTCATGGAACGGCAAATCTCCCACATGGATCGCCCGTCTAGTTTCCGGAAGTTGCAGGAATCCTATCAGATAGTACTGATCCGTTGGGTCTTCCGCCGTGTGTAGGTAGTTGTAGTACGTGTTGAACCCGGAGATATTCTTGAAGTACGAAGCACCTACATCGTCCCCATTCAACAACTCGTCCATAATCTTGAAAGCGCACTGATAATCGTTCTTCTTGACACACTCCGCCGCAGCCGCCTCATCTTCATCGAACTTCTCCTTCGCATTGATATCGATCAATCCCAGCTGATACAAGTAGTCTCCGTAGTCGAGTTGATTCAGCGGATCGCTGTACCCATTACCGATGGCCATTCCCTGCAGGTTTATCTTGATCTTCGCACTGGGATTCTTCTTGTGAATGGTGTGACCAATGGCCGGAACATACTTCCCTGCGTACGATTCGCCACTCGCGTAGAATGGATTCTTCTGCAGCTCCGGAAACAGCTGGAAGAACTGGATCAACGCCTCGTACAAATTCTCGCCCACTTGAGTTTGGTTGCGCGCATACCCATCGTCGCTATCTGTGAAACTGAACCCTGTCCCGACGGGGTTATCAATGTAGATCAAATTGTGATTGACGTGCCAGGAGTACTGTCGTGGAACGGCTTTCAGATTCTTTGATATGAAGAAGGGACCATTCTCCTCGAACAGACCGAACAAAGACGATGCCCCAGGTCCTCCTTGCAGCCAGAGAAGCACGGGTGCGTTGGCTGAGTTGTTCTTCGCTGGGAAATACCAGAAGAACAGGTTGGAATTGTATCGTTTATCGACGGTGAAGAATCCTGTGTAGCTTTCGAAACCTACGATTCGGCTGTGGTTAACTCGAGCTGCCGTTTGGGCTTCCTTGATCTTCCCAGCTTCCAGATAAGGCGTGATCAACAAAGGATCGCCATTATTTCCTTTGAAGCGCGGTTCAGCTGAGTACATTCCACGTTTCATGAATTGCTCATAGGGATTGATGAACGAGGCACTGCCGACTGCTATCAAGGCGAAGGTCATTAGTAGTGCATAGCATCCTTTCGATTTGAATTTTTCCATTATGTGGCTTTCTTTTGTGCCACTCACAATCACATCAACACAAGAATGGACTATAAATCCTATTACAGACGAAGAAAGTGCTCGGTAAAGTAAAAGAGAACTGTTTCGGCTGACGATCAGAAAAGAACTGAGCATTGACGCTCTGGAATGGACAATCATGTGATGTGTCTACAGTGCAGTCCGCGCTCTCACAATTGATACTTTTGCCTTTTGAATACGCCGATAGCGATAACAGTTTGTTTATAAATAAGCTAACTGGTTTATATTGCATAGCATTAAACAAGAAAGGCATCCTACATAATACAGATTGGTCGGTGGAGTTCATTCTATCCTGTTGGGGAATTATTTCCAAATGAATAATATGATTTTCAGCATAAAATAGAATTAATACTTGTAATCTATAATCTTTTTTTTTTCAAATTTACCTACAGATTTATAGTTATCTTTGAACAGGCTGGACTACCTGAAAAATCAGGGAATCTCAGGGAATTCAATTTTTGACCACCTGGGAACTCAGGGAATTTTTATTAAATTCAATCCTATTCATAAGGGGCTGTTCATTAACTACGTATACAGTTTTTTTTTCGGATTCTTGACCCCCATCCCCCTGCGTAGACAATTTTCCTAACTAAAATAATAATTTTGCATGTACCGTGAATAATTGCCAATCCCCCCCTAAACTGTCTACGTAGTTTATGGACAGCCCCTAACTGCATTATAAAATATAATGACCACACCAATGACACCAATCATGTAGGAAAGTGAAATAATGATTTCAGGCTCAGACAATTGAAATCCAGAGAAAAGTTCTTTGGACTAGATTTTTTTTTTCATGTATCCAGGACATGAACCATTGTTGGGCCTCTCTTAGCTCAATCGGTAAAGGCTAAGTTACAAAGTAAGACCATCTTGGACGTGGCTGGGTTTGATTCCCGGTCCGGTCTAGGTATTTTTCGGGTTGAAAAATTTCTCGACTTTCCTGGGTATCAAGGCGTAAAATAAAGTTAATAAATTTGACTAAAAGTGGATGTTGTACGATTTAGGTCAATTTTGAAGTGTCCATTGTGTTCGATTTAAAGAAGTAAGCAGTTTTGATAAGCTTTCCAATAAACATAAAATCTCAAAAATGTTTTTTTTTGTTATTGAAGGTTTTAGGGTCTGTTCATAAACTACGTAGACAATTTTTTTTTTGGATTCTTGACCCCCCCTCCCCCTGCGTAGACAATTGTCCATACAAAAAATTTAAAATTTGTATGGTCCGTAGATAATCATCACCCCCTCCTAAACTGTCTACGTAGTTTATGAACAGCCCCTTATCTGTATTTTTTTAAATTTTTTGACGAAAATTTGTATTTTTTTATTTCTGAAAATGCACTCTAGTTTCCTACACCTTTGTCTCAGACGTGGTGACGAATAGATTAGCCGTTTTCGTGCTATGATTTAAAAAAAAGCGAACACGCCATTTAGCAAAATTAGGCGTGAACACACGCAGGAAAATGGATTTTTGTTTCAGGGCCTAATGTATTTATTTAACCGTTAGGGAGAGGAGGGGCATAGTGAGCATCCCACAGTTTGGCTCTGGATCTCCAGTTGCATGAAACAAATCAACTGGTAGTAGGTTCAATATCATTATGATATTGATCCTACCGCCAAACAATTTGTTCCAAAATACCGGAAGTTCTAGCTGGTGCACGGGATGCTCACTATGCCCCTCTTACCCCTATGTGATCGACAAAAAAACACCTTTAGGAGCTCGACAAGGGTATCCGGGTACACGCAGAGAAATGATTTTTAAATTTAAATGCATATATTTTTGGCTCAGGGCCTAATATATTTTTAGTATTGATTTAAATATATTATTCGGTTAATTCAAAGAAAAATATTTTTGAATCAACAAACTGGTTGTAGAGCCAATAATCTGTTTGTTGATTATAAAAACCATTTTGTTGATTCAAAAATATGTTTTGTTGAAATAGTGATTCAATATGTTTGAATCAATAACAAAATACATTAGGCCCTGAAACAAAAATCCATTTTTCTGCGTGCACAAATTGAAATACTTGCTACTGCGGCCAATTCTGATCGATTTTCAATCTTTTGGCACCATAGGGTTCAGAAACTATTCCTCTTTCTCGACATTGCCAGCAATGTCCATCCGGACTAGTCTGTTTCCCGGAAATCCGGATTTCCTTTATAATGTTCCAGATCTAAGCATTTTCTTGCCACTTTCGCTAGAATTTCGAAGGAATCTATATCAAAGTATCAGAATCTCCTTCAAGAAACAATTTTAACTTACTTGAGGACCAGTTTAAGGTTTCTCCCCGGAACGGCCATTCCTCTTGTGCCCATAGAAGTTATTGGGAAGAATTCCCTACAATACGGGTATCAAAATTCATGAATTTGCAGCAGAATACCGTTTATCATAATTTTGTGGCCATTTGATGGATTGTCCTCGGAACGGCCATTCCGAAGCAGCAGGGTGGCAAGTGAACTAGGAAAACCGGGAAAAAGTCGGGAATTTATTTTCACCAGGAAAAACCGGGAAAAACCAGGAATTTCATAAGTTCACCAAGAAAATTATCTTGTTTGTATGATATAAAAAGGTTTTACATTTTATGTGTGTCAAAGTTTCTTTTTATAATCAGGTCAAAACAGACCATTTTGTTCAAGCTAAATCTTTCACACAATTAAACATTGATGAACAAAATTTACCCTGAGAATTTAGTAAATATATTTTGTATTTGTTTTTAATTTAATTTTTGTCTCGCATCAATTGCATGTATGATTTGTGCTTAATTGAAGCAGACTTAAGCTGGCCGACGCGTAACTACTTTGAAGTTCCTGTTCAACATGTTCAATAAAAAGTTCTATTTTCAAAAACTTCAGATAAGGCCTTCGAACTTCATGCAAGTTCTACAAAATTCGGGAAAGTCTTGCAAGTTTCAGGAAAATCCTGTGAACTACTGTGATGACCTACGACGGCCAGGAAATCTCTCCGAACCTTCAGAGAAGTTCTACAAATTTTAGAGAAGATTTACAAACTTCAGGGAAGTCCTTTAATCTTAGGGGAATAACTACGAATTTTACAGAATTTTCTACAGATTTAATGTAACTTCTACGACATTTAGGCATTGCTTAAAACTTAAGGATAATCCTATGACACTTATGGATTTTTTCCGAGCTTCAGTACTCTTGGGAAGTCCTCTGAACTTAACATAGTTCTCCAAGCTCAAAAAAGTTCCTAGAACTTCCGAGAAGTCGATTGAACTACAGGTAGTCCTACGAAATTCATGGGAGCTATCCAAACTTCAGGGAATTTCCAAGAAATTAAGGAAAGACCCACTAAATTTTGGAAAACCCTTCGATATATTAAAGCCTAATGAACTTAAGCGAAGCTTTTCTAAATTAAGGGTCCTCATATATTCAGTTAAGTCCTTCAAACTTCAGGGAAGTGCTCAGATCTTCGAGAAAATTCTTCGAACTTTCTGGAAGTCTTACGAACTTCTGAGAATTTCTACGAACTTCGTGGTACTTCTACGATATTTAAGAAATTCCTATGAATTTCAAAAAACTCTGAACTTCAGGGAAATCCTAAGATTTAAAAAAAAGTCCTTCGAACTTCGGGGAAGTCCCATGAAATTCAGGCAATACAAATTTCAATGAACCCTTCAGGAAAGACCTTAACGCTTCAGGGAAGTTCTACGAACTTTAGGGAGTTTCTATGAACTTCAGCAGTCAGTCTTTTTAATAATAAGAGTTATTAAACCAGCGTTGTTTATCAGTGTCAATCGTAATTAATCTTGTAAGCAAAGATGTTTTTGCAAAAACATGAGTGAAAACGCTTTGCTATTATAGTTTTAGCACATAGAACGGAAATAGGCGCCATGATACGACGAAGTAGCGCGGCTCCCTACTAGCTTCTTTACAGCAAACAATCAGATAAAGATTTCACGGGCATTCACAAGAACCTTAATACCTATTTTCAGGGTGTCGACTACCTGGAAAAACCTGGAAAGTCAGGGAATGTCAGGGAATTCTATTTATGATCTGGAAAGTCAGGGAATGTCAGGGAATTTTAATGTAGATCAGGGAAAAAAATAATGTTGATCACATTGCAAAAAATCATGTGTGGGACACATATAAACAATCTTTGAAATTTTATCAGTGCATGACGTCAAAGTTTTTGGGAAGATCCCGGGCATCAGATCTACTCGCTGCGTTTATGGACGCCCTTGCCGGTATTTCTTCGAACAAGTTGCTGCAAGTGTCCATGGATGGGCCCAATGTGAATTGAAGCTAGAGGTACAAAAAGGTGGCGAGAAGCTGATAGATCTGGGAAGCTGTGGGCTGTATATTTTTTTTTGTATATGTGTTCGCAGGATTAGTTGGGATGTTGTCAAATATTTGCGTGGTATCTACAATATCTTCAAAGATGTACCAGCAAGATCTACCATATTCCCGCTAAAGTTTTGCGGTCACCGATGGTTGGAAAATAGTGCTGCTGTTCAGAGGGCAATCAAAATTACTCCGCAAATACGAAAATTTATTCAAGGCGTCCAGAAAGACAAAATTGAACCAACGTCAGCTTCCTACCAAGATGTTAAAAACTGTTTGAATGTCTCGCTGCTGATGGCTAATAGTACGTTCAGACTACAGATTTATAACATTTTATAGCACTATCTTGATGGTGGTTTCTGTGTTGCTATATTTGACAAACGTTATAACATGTTATAACTCTGTAGTCTGAACGTGGTATTAAGCTAGCTTTCTTTAAATCAGTTGCTGTCGAAGTTGAGCCATTTCAATGCGAATTTCAGATGGACCTTTTATGGTGCCTTTTTTGTGCAACGCAATGTCTCAAATGGTTAGAGGCCAGCGAATCCAAACACATAAAGCAACCAACGATACAGACAAAACGGTTGCTACGACTACCATGACAAACTCGCTCTGTAACATAGCTCGATCCGAGTGGTAGAAGGATAATGATATATTGCTTGCCTGCTTTGTTTCAATGTACATTGTACACGGATGAGGACATAGCTTGATATGAATCGAGAAAAGGCATAACAAAAAAATTCCCATTAACA